AGGGGGGTGGAGGTGGGGCTGATGCCTGGCTCTGGGAGAAGTTGCTCTACAAATGGTGCCGTGGCAGCGCCGGTTGTGCCCCTTGCCCGGGGCGGCCTGGCTGGGCTCTGCCCCGGCACCGTGCCTATGGATCCCAGGCGGCCCCGCTCCTGCCCCGGGACGGGGGTTAAGTGTAACTCTCATGCCCGGCTCGGGGCTCCGGCGGGGGGCAGCCTGCCCTGACGGAGCCTGGCTCCACGTCTCTCCCTGTGACTGAACGGCCTCCCTGCCCCCTCGGCCCGGCTCTGGCCCGGCACCGCCTGAGGGACTGGGGGGCCGGGGGAGCCTGTCAGGGCAGTGGGTCACTCTGCTGTTAAATGGCCTTAGCCCCACAGCCCCAGGCCAGCTCTGGGGTGGGGTCACCTTCTCCCGCCCCATCATATGCCCCCCGTGCTGCCGTGGGGCAGCAGAGCTGGAGCAGACCCTGAGGCCTCTCCCTGCTGGCAGGGACGGGGTGGCCGGTATCGAACGTCACTGGGGTCTGTTCGCCAGGGCTTGGCCCAGTGATTCCCTCCCTGGGCCCAGAGCCCCGGTTTCCATGCCCACAGGGGTACGTGGTGGTTGCCTGGCTGGGGGTCCTGGTTGCCAGGTAACGGTGGATTGGCCCAGCCTGGCTCTAACCCCATCCCCTCTCCTTCCTCCCAGATCGCCGCCGGCAACGGCACCAACGCCTTCTACGCCAACCCTGCCACGTCGTCATAGGATCTCTAGGGGCACCACCCGGGGACCGGCGGGAGCAGAGCTCCCACCATCGCCATGTGCTTCCTGCAGCTGGACTCCAGGGTGCCGGGCAGGGCCGACAAGGCAGTCCCGGGCAGGGGTTTGCTGCACCGGGGGGGGACGGGGGGCGTTTGGAGTCACAGTGTGGCAGGGTGGGGAGGGGGTGACTGCCCCCCCTTGCAGCCCATGGCCCTGCAGGAGGGGGAGCTGCTTAATTCCTCCCCCGCTCCACAAGGGAGGGCAAAGGGGCTGCCCCATATATCCCCCCTCCAATCAGCCTGGACAGTGCAGGGAGTATGGCAGGGGCTCCCCAGAGGAGCCCCCCCATACTGCCCCGAGCTGTGGATGGGGTGTCCGCCCCCCCCCCACCCACACACAGCCTGGGGAGCCCTCTCTGGCCCAGCTCCCGCCTGTTCCCAGGAGGTGGGAGTGAGCGTCGGAAGGTTCCGGAGCAGTCGAATTCGAACACATGAAGGAACTCGATGAACAATGCGAGGGGGGACACTCCCCCCAGCTCCAAGCACCTGCTGCCCCCAATCACTTGCCAAATGCCGTATCCTGCCATGGGGCCCACAGTGTGCAGTGTTCAGGTTCCAGGGGTTACGTTTGCCTGCACCATTATAAAGGCCTGGGGCTCCTTTATAATGTAACCACTTGGCTCTGTGACGGCCGCCCCACCGTGACGGGGGGTCACAATGTCCTTGGGAAGGTCTGTGTTTATAGTGCTGCACAATAAAGGGATCTGTGGTGAGTCAGGCTCTAGGCTGGGTTTCTCCTGCACCTCTCGGACCTCTGCTTTGGCAACGCTGCCTGCAGGGTGGTCTAATCAGCTCAATGGTCCGTGGGCAGGGGGCTGCGGGACCATCCCTCAGAGCCAGCACCGCCCAGCTCACAGCCCAGCAAGTCATCCCTCCATCTAGGGCCAGGGTACCCCGGCCTCAGGTGCCCTCTCCTGCTCCGAC